CAGAGCTGCCAGTCTGGACTCCTCTTCCTCTCTCAGGAACTGGTGGAGCTTGTTGAACTCTGCTCTGATCTGTGTCTCTGTGGACAGCAGCTGCTTCTTGGAGTGTTGGATCACATCATTGTAWGTTTCCTCCACATGTTTGTGTTTGTTCCTCTTGTCCTGCAGAGACTTTAAGTCAGATCTCAGCTGCTCCTTCAGCTCTCTGACTGCTTGTTCTACAGGAACCACTTTGTGCTTCTTGTGGAGAGAAAACTCACAGACAGGACACACAGCTCTCTGCTCGTCTTCACAGAACAGTTTAGGATCTTCTTGGTGTTTGCTGCAGACCATCATCATTCCTTTTTTCTCTTTTACTGACTCGGATGATTCAGATTTCTGTCTTTCAGCAAAAGAGTCAGCAAGTTCCTTCAGAGTAAAGTTTATTCCAAGATTTTCTTTTGAAGACTTTCTTTTACAAATCGGACAGTTCTTGTTACCAGTTTGTTCCCAGAACTTCTGCAGGCAGCTTGAACAGAAGCTGTGGTTGCAGCTCAGAGACACAGGATCTTTGAAAGTCTCTGAACAAACATGGCAGCTCAGGTAACTTTGAAGAGGAGCAAATGTCCCAGCCATTTTTTCTAAACTTTAATTATCTGTCAACAGTCAGACTCACCAAAGAAATCTGTGTCTTTGAGCCTCAGTCCATTAAATAGTTTTTAGTTTGTGTCCTTCACTCTGTAATGGTGTCTCAGCTCCAGTAAAAAGTGTAGAAATGAACTTTAAACTTCTCTGTAATAATCTGACATTTCATTTTCTTATCAGCACAGGGTGGAGTTTGATTCATTATTAACTTATACAGTTTCAAAAAGTTTTCTTTCGGCCATTTGTTAATAAAGTTTAAAATTTTATCAGCAGGTCTCACCAGTTCTTCACTTTTTTGCTTTAGACCCTCCAAATCATTGTTTTTCAACACAGATCTCACAGCCAGTAATGGCGCAAGTGTCAAAAGTTACTTTCATTTTCCTTCTTTCTCTCAGTCAGGTGACAAAAGTCAACCAGGATGTTTTTTTAGTTTGTCTCCAGAAAAGGTGAAGCTGTCAGTTCATCTCTCAAAGCTTCTCGGGTTTATTTTGAATTTAACATATTAAACATGCTGTATATATTTCTATATCTAATCTCCCATTCATCTCAAAAATTCTTGAGAAAATAGTTGCAAATCAACTACGTGAACATCTGGATAGAAATAATCTACATGAAGAGTTTCAGTCAGGGTTTAGAGCTCATCATAGCACAGAAACAGCACTGGTTAAAGTTACAAGTGATATTCTCATGGCCTCAGACAGTGGACTTGTGTCCATTCTTGTCCTGTTAGATCTCAGTGCTGCATTTGATACAATTGATCACAATATTTTATTACGTAGACTTGAACTTGATATTGGAATTACAGGAACAGCTCTAAAATTGTTTGAGTCTTATTTAACTGATAGATTTCAGTATGCTAATGTTAATAATGAATCTTTTGCTTACACGAGTTAGTCATGGAGTTCCTCAGGGTTCAGTGCTTGGACCAATCATCTTTACTTTGTTTACTTTAGGTAAAATTATTAATCAGTATGGGATAAATTTCCATTGTTACGCTGATGATACTCAGTTATATTTATCCATGAAACCTGATGAATCCAACCAGTTACTTAAACTATAAGCATGTCGTACAGACATAAAAACATGGATGACTCTTAATTTTCTGCTTCTAAACTCAGATAAGACAGAGGTTATGGTTCTTGGACCTGAACATCTTAGGGATCAACTTTGTAGCCTTTCACCTCCCTCTGGATGCATTAATCTGGCCTCCAGCTCTAATGTAAAGAACCTTGGTGTTATTTTTGATCAGGACATGTCTTTTAACCCCCACATTAAAAATGTTACCAGGACCGCCTTCTTCCACCTGCGTAATATCACTAAAATTAGAAACACTTTGCCTTAAAAAGATGTGGAAAAACCGATTCATGCATTTATCAYGTCTAGACTGGATTACTGTAATTTTTTATTATCTGGGCTCCAAAAACTCTTTAAGAAGTCTTCAGTTAATCCAAAATGCTGCTGCAATGAGAGTTGGAAGGATATATCATATTTCTCCAGTTTTAGCTTCTCTCCACTGGCTCCCTGTCAAATTCAGAATAGAATTTAAAATATTACTCCTAACATACAAAGCTCTTAACAACCAAGCTCCATAACATATTAAACATCTTATTGTTCCATACTTTCCTAACAGAGCACTTCACTCTCAGACTGCAGGTTTACTTGTGGTTCCTCGAGTTTCTAAGAGTAGAATTGGAGGCAGAGCTTTCAATTATCAAGCTCCTCTCTTGTGGAACCAACTTCTAGTTTCTGTCTGTGAGGCTGACACTCTGTCTACTTTTAACCCATTTAATCCCGAACTTTTCCCTGCAAGATAACTGCATGAATTTTATTTCTTAGACCTCCCTAAGACATAACATTTATTTTTTTTTTTTCATTTTATGTTGATTGTGTTAGTGAAARTGTAGGTTTTGTACCTGGCAACAAGTGTTGCTGGTGGGAAACAGCACAGTCTTAACTGACACAAATCCTTTATTCTGACCTGTTAACACACATGAAAAATATAAATWACAGCAACATGCATAACATGTTATAACAAGGCATGGGTACAAGTTCAACAGTAGGAATGACTGTTGTAGTGCAGTTCAGTGGTGTAGTACAGTGTTTTTCAAAGTAGGGGCCACGGCACATGGGAGGTCACCAGGGAGCATTATGTGGCCCTCAAAGCTGGAGGGACAAGTGGGGAAAAAAGGCAAAAACCTAAAATTTAAATCTAATGTATATTTTAAATTATCATATAGTTTAATCAGTTTTTCACTCATTATTTGAAAATATAATTTATAAAAATATATTGAAATGTTATTTAGGAGAGCARTTTGATTCCTTTTGTTCTGTTCTTATTGTCAACTGCTGGTGATTCAGTGGGATTATAATAGTGTTTAACACATTTCAGTTAATAAAATTTTAATGCTAAACAAATATAATACTTATAATTAGTGATTTAAAAAAAACATTTTACATATTTTGTAGCATTGTTTGTAGGTTTGCATAGGGGTCCCCAGCCAAACGCTTATGTTGTTTGGGGGGCTACGGCATGGAAAAGCTTGGGAACCCCTCATGTAGCACACATCATTTTTGGGTTCTTTCAGGTCTAAAAGATCTAAAACATCTGATGGTTTTAAGCTGAATGGAAAAAAAACCCTATAAGATAAATAAAATAAACAGTCAAACCTTTGACAGCTAGCATAGATCTATGTGTTTTACTAGCAGCAACATTTGTTGCCATGCYTACATTCGCTCTTCTTATCAAAAAATGCATGCAGGCATAAAATTCTTAATTTAAATTAGCTGCCCAAAGCTAAAATAACACTTTTAGTGCTTCCGGAAGTAAAACAAAATGTTTGGCAACAATTGTTGCCGGTGGGATTAAACGGGTTAAGATTAGACTGAAGACTTTCCTTTTTGATAAATCATTTAGTTAGACTTAGGTTTTCTGAATTATTTTTCATTTCTGCTGCTATAGACTTAGACTTCATGTTTTTTCTTTGTCTCTTCCAGAAGAAGGTGCACCTGGACCAGTCCTGGACCAGTTCTTCTGTGTTTGCCTGTGTC